AGGAACACTAATTATAATATGAAATCGAAAAAAAATATCGAGTAATCACCTTAAAAAAAGAAAAACAAGCCGAAAATTAATAGAAATATAAACTTACGAAAGAATATAAACAGTCAGGCATCCAAGTAAACAACATATAATGATTGTAATGTTTAACAATCTTTTGTATTGAACTTTCTCACTTCCAGCTTTTTGTGCCCATTTTTCATATTTTTCATTTTCTTGTTTAAGGCGTTTTAAATCTTCCTCGTTAGCCAATAATTTGTTTCGATATCGTCTATCAGCTTCATGAAACCTATTCTCATAGTCCTTGACTTTGTTTTCCAGTTGCTTGCGTTCTGTCCTCAAGTCATTCACCTTTCTTTCCAATGAAGCTTTATCTTCTTCAAGTCGTATGGCCAAAGAATGATTAGATGCCACCGTTACTTTAAGTTCTTGTATCTCCAAATCTTTTTCCAACAATTTTTCTTTATATTCTCGTTTAGATTCTTTTAATTTTTGATTGTCTTCTTCAAAAGAACGAAGTTTTTTTTCCTTTGTTGTTTTGATTTCCTCCGCGAACGTGTTTTCAAGTTCAAAAGAAGTATCTTCCAATTTGTTGACACGTTCTTCGTATTGTTGAACTGCCTCAAGAACCCGCCGCTCCACTGTTTCACCATATTCACTCGTATATGTATTGATCGCTTCTTTAATACGTTCTTGAATAATTTTATCTGCGGCTACTTTATCCTCCTCGATCATTTTCACAACTTTCTCTTCATTTTCTTTTAAAATTTTACTTAAAGTATTGTCAGCAGCTTCCAGAATATCTACCCGTTCCATTACTCTCGCTGCCTCCTCTTTAACAGCCGCGATCATCTGTGCCATCTTGGCCTCCCTATCTTCTTTAAGTTTATTTATTATTCTATTTTCATTATCTTGAATTTCTTTAAGTAATAATTGTTCTATCGATTCATCACTTTTTTTCAATGCATCTATTTGGACGTCGACTTTATCAGATTCTTTCTTGACAGTGTCAAGAATTTTCGTGGTTTGCTCACTCAATTCTTGATATTTATTTTCAAGTTTGATCATTGCTTCCTCCGCACAATTGATCTTTCCATCGTATTCTTTAAGCTTATTTTCCAATTGTTCATCGATCTTTGCTTCAAATTCTAAACATTCTACTTCTTGTTTTAATTTATTAATATCATTTTCGATAATTTGAATTTTTTGATCAGTTTCTTTACTTAAATCTTGCAAATTTCGAAATTCGGTATTAAATTTATCAGAATAAGTGTTAATTTTTGATTGAGTTACTTCAGGTTTAAAATTATTTTCATGTATTTTTTTAAGAGAGATTTCAATATTAGAAGTTTTCTTATCGATTTCTGAATATTGATCATTCATATCTTTTTCAAAATTGGATAATTCATTAGCTAGGTCATAATTTTTATTATCCTCGCCTTCTAATATATATCTTTGATTTCCGGTTTCATCATCAATACTTTCGACACCAGATTTATCATCATATTTTAAGTAGAATTCACGAATGTATTTATCAACTTTATTATCAATTATTGATTCCATATTATTTATGAATTGAGTAGTGTCATCACAGAATTTTTGAGAATTCACAATTTCATCTTTGATTCTGGATTCAATATATTGTTGAATATTTTTATCAAAGTTGTCAAATTTTGATCTAATATTTTCGTTCAAACCCTCTTCAAACTCTGATAGAGCTTTCTTCATATTTGCACCAACATTATTATAAATTTCTTGAGTTTGTCGTTCAATGCGGTTTTGATGATCTAAATCAATTTCTGAGACTTTTTGTTGTAATTTTTGATCTTGTGCTTCTAACTTGTTCCGAACCTCAGTAAAAATTGTATCTATTTGAGAGGAAAATGCATTATGAGATTTTTCTACAATCTCTTGAATATTCTGTTTGTATTTTGGTAAAGCTTTTTCCATTTCGGAAATTGAAATTGAATCTGAAGAGACATCACGAGGATGTACATCTCTTTCATCGCCGGATGAATATTCTGCTTCATGTTCCTCATTGGAATCATTGTCAACAGATTCAAATCTTTTTTCACTTTCGTAGTTTTCTTGAAAGTCATTTTCGGAATTAAGTAATAAATTTTCATTAAAAATCTTTGATTTTTCTTTGTTATTGAAAATTTCTTGTTTATCTTCCG